GCGCGCCCCCAGCTTCTTCTGCAGCTCCGGGTCCCCGGAACGGCGGGTGGGAAGGCACCCTCCGCCCCGGGCCGAAAAAGCAACTCAGCCGCCCCTACTCGAAAGCCCCCCATTTCTGCAGTCTGGCCGTCCCAGGGCTGCAGAGGTCGAGGGCTGCAGTTTGCTTCTGGCCAGTGTCCGCACTCGCTTCTTCTGTCCTCCTCTGTTCTGAAGTCTCTGGGGGGAAGCGGCGCTTTCTCCTCGCAAGTACGTGCAGGGGGAGTCCAAAAAGTCGAGGTGGTGGCCGCACAGTCACAGTCTGCCCCTTCTTTACATGCAGTTGCTTGCATGCTCATTTTTTTTTTTTTATTTTACACCACCACCACCACCACCCTGTTTCTTCGCAGGGAAAGAACATTGGCTCTTTCTTACATTAAGATTGTTCTGGTCTTTGGTGCCTCTCTTTGAGTTTTGCGTTTCACCTTGCAGATTCACTACATGTTTCTTCCCTTGGCCAGTGTTCCTGAAGTGGGAAGAGATTTCCATGTCTGCTCCTAAGTCCTACTTAGCATGACTACCCTTATGTTTTGTAGAGGGGTTGGTGGTATTCCTTCCTTGGCTTTGGCGGGGTAGGGGTGCGGCAGCTGTCCCCTCTTTTCCCTCTGAAATCTGCCTCCGTCCATATCTCCTCCTTTGCCTGCTTGATTTTGTTTTTAAATCCTGAGTTTTAATCTTGAGTTTGCCTGCCCCACAATCCAGTCATTAGCCTTATTCTATTCATCTCATGTGAATTAGATCACTTTGAACTCAACTCCCCTTTTAACCCCCTCTGGGGACGTCTGGTTTGCTTCATGTAGTAGCTCTGAGGAATGAAAATGCTTTTGCAATCATGGGACTGAGGGAGTTTATCATGTGTGAGTTATGTCTAGCGCAGGCAGAGTTGCTGGGGTTGCTTTTCTGCATGCAGCATATTAACATTTTTTTTTCCGTTCTGAAGGAGTGAATCATGCTCTGGGTTAGCTCACAGGTCTAATGTTGCTCCTTACTCCGAGTCCTTGTGCATGAATAGGCACTGATTTCTTACCACTGTGATTAAAACAAACAAAGATTATTTGGCAGGTGTACTTGAGAGAATAGGCATAAAAAATCCAGGCGGTAAAAACCAGCTTGGCTGCAAAGTTCAGGGAACAGCTGTTTGGGAGAGACTCAGCCCAAATTGGTTTCTTTGGTAGATGAGTGGTCATATACATTTGTTTAATAAATAAATACTTAGAATGCAAGGAGAGAACTCCTTTGCAGATTGCCCAAGACCATAAAAATCAGGGTTCATGAAAAAGTTTAAAAAACCCATCACCTCCAGGGAAGAAGGGAAGTGAAAGTTTTAAATTATCTGGTTAAAGATTTCCTTATGTGTCCCTTATCTTGCCACAAAAGTAGGGGAAACAGAAAGAAGGATCTTGACCCCACCACAAAGTGGAATCACTAGAGAGGAGTATTAAGGGCCTCACAGCCATGTTTTTCAGACTTGGCCACCTTAAGATGTGTGGACTTCGACTCGCAGAATTCCCCAGCCAGCATTCAATTCTGGGAGCTGAAGTCCACGCGTCTTAAAGTGGCCAAGTTTGAAAAACACCGCATTACAGGCAAGGGGAAGAGCTGGTTCACAGAGATCTAAACTTCTCCTTTGCTCGATTTAACCTTTTGCAGCTTCCCAATGTTTGATAATGGTTGCTATAGATAGAAAGGGATTATCTTATCCCACAGGGTGAACCACTGCAGTCCTAGACAGACCTTTGCTGCACAGATTTCTTTAGAACTGTGTTTTTCCCACAACATTCGATTGCATCTTAAGCCTTGTACCTTGGAACAAGGAGCTTTAGGGTTTTTTACATCCCCAGCTTCAGAGTTTCTTCATTCTTTAAGGCAGATTCCTCTACTCAAAGGCACACGTTGTATGGACTTCAACTCCACAAGCATTCTTATGGGTTCCAACACATCCAACTTTTTTCTTTCTTAAAAAAAGAAAGCGAATCTTTTCCAAAATGGCAGGAAAATTAGCATCCTGGAAGCTGTCATTTGCCAGGCCTTCTGGCAGCCATCTGCCTGCAGAACCCCGCAGGATTCCTCATCCTTTCAGATGCTTCCAATTTGCGAGGCAGCAGTCCACGCTGGCGAGAAGCTTGTTCTCCTCCTTGTCTCCTTTTATCTCTTTTTTATTTCCAGTGAGCTCATAATTCACTTGAGCCTTGGGTGGAAAATAAATACAAATGGCTCCTTGTTTACAAGAACCAAGGCCCCTGCTTCTTCTCACTAGAGACTGGGCCTCCATGACCTGGGGGAAAATGATCTTCTAAAGAGAAGACAGAAAAAAGGACATGCTTCAAAAAAAACCAACCAGTCCTGATCACTGGGATACCATACGCTGCCCACAGTCTTCGTAGCAGCCTGTTGCCTGACCCAGATGAACTTGGGACAAAGCATCTCTGTTAAGAGTAGCAGTTGGTCTGCCCCACTGTCCTGTAGAAGGCTCATCTGCTTGCAGCTGGATGCTTCTCCTCACTCCCACATCCTTTTGGAAGTCTGAGCTCAAGCGGAGCTGGTGGGAGCTGGACTTAGAGGCTCATAGAGTTGAGGGAGTTCATGTTGTCCAACTATCATATCTTCCCTTAGTCTTCTCTTCTGCAGACTTAAGTATACCCAGATCCTTCAACCTCCTCCCAGGCTTGGTTTCCAGACTCTTCACCGTTTCGGGAGGCCTCCTCTGAAATTGCTCCAATTTGTCATTCTCCTTTTTGAACTGTGGTACCCAGAACTGGACCCAGGGCTCTAAATGGGGACTGCCCAGTTACTTCTCATGAACTTCATAGTTCTGTTAATAAGTCCCCAGAGAGCAAGCTTAATGGTTCAAGTCTGCTTGTGGCATACAAGTCCCTAAAATGTGGGACCAGAATACCTGATAGCCTTCCACAGCTATCAGATAAAGTTCTGCTCACGCTGTAGCTTGCACTCTAGCCCCTTGAAGATCTTGGCAAGGCCTTCTCCTCTTCTTTGGTCCTACCGTCTGTCAGGCAGCCTTTCAGGACCCACCTCTTTCCACAGGCCTTCATTTGGGAACGTCATGGAAGATTTTTACAACATCTGACATTTCTCATAGTACGATTATATCATGTACCTCTTTGGAACGAGTATGTTTCATAGCAACTGCTTCCCGTTCTTTGAAATTACTACAAAGATTTTTAATTTAAAAAAAAAAAACTTCTGCTCTTTACACCACTTTCAAATGTTGACTCAGAAAGAGTTTTAAAATACGTTAAATATTTCTTGAGAACAGAGGGAGCAGCTTTCAAGAGCAGCTATTCCATGAGGCAAAGTCATGGTTGGTTGCCAAACTGACAAGGATTCACAAAACGGTTTTACTACCAGCCACCTGCAAATTCCTTTCTTATCACTGAAAAGACTCCCCTATTTTCAAAATGGCTGTACAAAGGAAATGAGAAAGACTCCACCAATTGTCCTTTGGGGATATATCAGCTGTCTGTCTGGAATTCCATTGCCAGAATTCTTGTAGCCTCGTCCTTCATAAAGGGTTTCCATGAGAACTGTGATTGGAAAATGGATTTGCTCTGGTTTTTAGGCAGGAGCCATGAGTCTGATGGGTGGATCAGGACAAGCTTGATTATATCTAGACCAGTGGTTCTCAACCCCTGGGGGCCCTAAGGTATTTCAAAGGGGCCACAGGTGAAAAACATATAATGGGTGGCCACGGCATGTGCCGAGGGGGGCACAGAAAAGCAAAGTCTATTATAGTACAAATGCTGTCTTTATTCTAAAACATATATTCTATTTACAAGCCAAGTGTGTAAGTGGCAATCTTTTTCACCAGTAATGGGATCTGGACAGAGGGCCCACAGGGGAAAAACAAGGTTGGAAGGTCAGAACAAACACAAGCGAAGAAAGGTTGAGAAACACTGGCCTAGGCTATCCCCAAATGAGCTTCCAGATGTTGGGATTACAATTCCAGCTGGAATACTGGGAGCTGTGGTCTCAGAGGTGACCAGCTTGGGTCAAGTTGTACAATTCTGTTGATCACTTCCTTGGTTGCTGAATCAGGCAGGATGTTACCGTTGGTGTAATTCAGTGTTTCTCAACCTCAGTAACTTTTAAGACGTGTGGACTTCAACTTCCAGAATTCCTCAGCCAACATGCTGGCTGGGGAATT